TGAATGCAACTGGAACATGGAACCACTCAAATCAGTGGCTATGGAAGAGCCAGCCATAAGAAATTAGCCAGTGACTGGCAGGTGCACTCTACAGTCTGTCTGCCATGATCGTCCTACTGCTGGAACAGCCCGTTCTCACTCCTGAGGCGTAACATCCTGACGATTTGTCACGTCCTGCGGCGTTCCTGAGGAACGTGAAAGGCGACCTTTGGCATTCTTAAGCTGCGTGCCGGGTTGTGTGTGAAATACAGTAGCACAAATATACTGGCACAAACAAGAGGCCACACATTACTCCAGTTTTGGCTTCTCTTCATTGGTTGCCAGTAAATTTTAGGGTTCATTTAAAATTTTTAGTTGTAACTGTTAGAGCTCTGCACGGTGAAGCTCCCCACTATATGTCTGACCTGTTGAAACCTCATGCTTCATCCCGAGCACTTAGGTCGTCAGGTCAGAGGTTACTGTTGGTCCCACGTGGGGATCGGGCTTTTCAGGCCCCTAGGCCGTGGAACTCCCTGCTGTTGTCTTTACTCCATTGACTGCTTTAAAAAGCAGCTGAAGACATTTTTATACAAATGAACTTTTAATCATATTTTTTACTGTTTCATATTTTTTTATTTGTATTTCTGGTTTTATTGTGAAGCACTTGTGCTATATAAATACATTTTTATTTACTTCAGAATGACGGTCCCGCAGTAAAACACGTTCCAGCCATTTATTCCAGGCCATATTTTTCAGTGGTGCGACTAAAAAAAAATATTTGGTTGCACCTGTGCGACCAACTGTTCGGGTAGCGGGAAAAAAAAAATCTGCAACCTTCCCTGTGGTCAACAACAGACACACATTTTGCCCCTATCGTGGACCTCTCTGATTGGCCGTGGTCCAGTTGAAAGTGCAGGTGGAAGTGGGAGGTGAGTAGCTTGAATAAAGCGATATCAATTCATTAGATCCTGAATCGACTTTTAAACATAACTGTGTTTGGCCAGAAACGCCAGATTCTCAGATTAAAGCTCACAAAACCATTTCAACAACCACCAAACAGCAGATGGTGGTTACGTCTCCACACAGAGACGTAAACACAGACCGACGCATCAGAATCAGCTTTGTCTTTCTCGGCTTTCTCACCCGACGGCCCGTAGACGGACACGCTGTCGGAGCTCAGCGATCCTGATGTGTCCGGTCCGCGCTGTGTTTACGTCTTTT